TGTCTTCCTCGTCCACCAGCTGTACCGACAAGAGTCAAGGGAAGCGTGCCTCAAAAGCCATGGCACGGATCATGCCCTGCCTATAAGCCCACCTACCTCTCCTTGCAATGGTGGCAAAGTGGATGCAGTTGGTCAGGAGGCCAGTACACGCCACTGTAGTGTGATTCAGACAAAAATTCATGCCACAGGCAAAGCACGAATTGCAACAAAGCCCGTTGGGAATCTGAGATGCTGTTTGTACTGTGGAGAGAAAAGTGAGAGGAGAGGAACTGACTCTCGGCAAAAATGCAGTGATTTTACACACCGTGGGGCCTGAGCGAGGTGTATCCACCTGTTCTTTCCTAAAGAAAGGCATAGATGGATCATAAGAATGCAAGGTTTGTTTATGGAAATGTCTACCCCTGTAGACATTACAATAAATATTTCACCAAGCCAGTAAAGCTGCATTTTGTCAGGTAATGCGAAAACAAGTAGCTGGGATCTGATCAGTTACTTACACTGGTGTTGGAATGGCATAAATAATAAAGGCTGATTGCTGTGAGTTAACAAGTATAACCATCTATATTTCTCACAATTGCATTCCTTGTGATTTGGGGTCCAAGAAAGAATACAAGCAACTCATTAATAGTAATAATAATTGCTTGAAGTCAATGTGATTCCGACTTATGGTGACCCTTTCCAGGATTTTCTAGGTAGAATTTTTTTTAAAAAGTGGTTTTCCATCCCCTTCTTCTGGAGGTGCCTTGGGACTGTGCAGCTTTCCCAAGGCTACCCAGTCTGGCTCTCTTGGGATGCATAGTGGGGGACTCAACTCCCAGCCTCTGGCTCTGCAGCATTACACAGCACCCATCTGCCACTGTGAATTATACTACTGCCATTATGACAGTGTAGTACCTAACCAATAGGATTTGGATTAGGGGCGAAATTCAATATCAGGCCTACTTTGAGGAAACCCATTGAAATAAATCCTGTTCATTTCAATGGGTTTGCTCTAAGTAGAACTAACACTAGGGTTCACCCTGCATCCAGGTCTATCCAGACTTATTTATTTATTTATTTATTTATTTATTTATTTATTTATTTATTTATTTATTTATTTATTTATTTATTTATACCCCGCCTATCTGTTCATCACAAACACTCTAGGTGGCTTGCAACATAACATGTAACATAACATATAAAACAAGCATATAACATAATTAACATAATTAGAAAAAAGAAAGAAATTTTTTTCTCCAAGACGGCAAGAGAACAAGATAAAATGTAACAAATAGGAGGGAAGAAAAATTAAGAATTAACTGGGAGCGGGGAAAGCCTGCCTAAAAATCCATGTTTTCAGTTGTTTTTTAAAACTACCCAGCGAGGGATCCGCGCCAATCTCCGTAGGTAAGTTGTTCCAGAGGTGAGGAGCCACCGCCGAGAAGGCCCAGTTTCTTGTTTTTTCCTTCCAGGCCTCCCTCGGCATCAGGCTCCTCAGCCTCACCTCCTGGCTGCATACACTGCAAATCCAAAACCTCTTTAGGGTAAACAGCATCATAAGCATAGCTGAGAGAAGAAACACAGAGATTCTTCATTGCTGCCTACATTTCAAGCGCTTCGATTCCACAATCTGGTAGTCATCTCCTAACAAAGGTCTTCCCTTAAGATCTCCCTTGAGATTCCAGGAGCATCTGGTTGACTACCATAGAAGCAGATAACTGAACAAGGTGGGCTATTAGTTTGATTAAGCCCCGTTTTTAAGTTTATACCTTTAAGAAACATATGTTCAAATTCCACAAAAAAAAAAATCTCCATAGAATATGTCTCCTCCATATGTTTCTGAATCCTGGCCCCCATTCCAAACTATTCATCTTTTTCAATAATCAAGGATGATGAGTGTTTTATTCCACCAGCACTAGGAGCTCCAGAGTTTCAACAGTGTAGAACAGTGGTTCCCAACCTTGGGTCCCCAGATGTTCTTGGACAACAACTCCCACAAATCCTGGCCAGCACTGCTCGTGGTGAAGGCTTCTGGGAGTTTTAGTCCAAGAACATCTGGAGACCTGAGGTTGAGAACCATTGGTGTAGAAGGCCTCTGATTTTACTGGTCCCCTAATGTAAGGTGTGTCTAGCAGAACGATTAAGCAAACCACATGACAAAGCCCAACACAGCTTGTTGTACAGAAAGGAACTGGACTTCTATACCAATGACTTCCTGGGTGTTGCAGCGATCAGCTCGACAGCAGCTGGAGTTCCAGAGCATACGGAAATCTCCTGCCACCAGCTCATAAAATTGGTTGCAGAAGCGGTCATCGGAGTTGCATTTTTTCTTGTAAGTTGGGTGTTGTGTGTCCACGATACCTAAAAATGGAGGAAAACATCTGTGAGAAGATTCACTCACAAGAGGTAGACACCTGGTGTCCCATTCCTCAAGCAATTTGGAATATAACTCTCATCAGACCCAGATGTCAGGATGAAGGGTACAAGACTATGGCAGCTGTAGTACAAAGCATTGACCATTGTGGTTCACATACAATCGATGTGATGATTGAATGCTGGAGAGGAATGGAAACTTACACTTCTCAAAGATACTATTTGGCTATAGACATTGATCATAGCTCAGCGGTAAAGCTTTACATGGCAAAGATCTCAGATTTAATTCATTAAGTAAGTACTGTAATTTCAAAAGTTTTTACCCCACCTTTCTCCTCAAAAAGGACCTAAGGTGGCTTGCATCATTAAAAGAGAATAGTCTCCTTGAGTCCTTTTAAAGGAGAAGTGTGGGATAAAAATATTTTAAATAAATAAATAAATACACACACACACACACCACACACACATATATATAAATATACAAATATAAAAAGGATCAAACAAATGACATACTTAATAATAAACAACAGCCCATAAGCAGCACTGAAACACATTCAAAGCAGTAAGATACAACGATCCATTTGAAACTCCCACTCAGGCAAGCCAGTCACTCACTGCCAGAAAGCTTGCCTGAAGAAAACCCTTGAAATTTCCTGCTAATGGATTTCAAGGGACGAAGTTGGGAAGGACTCCCAGCTTCTGGGATCACGACTGTGGCATATCACCTCCAGGGGGCATTGCTACAGAAGCATTCCCTAGCATGCGTCCCAAAGGTAGGGCCTGATGCCAGTTGTGCCGGTTCTGGGACTCTATGCCTGGCTTTATGGTGGGAGGTCTCCAAGGTCCTGAACTGCACCCCTTCAATAGGTTCAGCACCAGTAGAATTACAAAGCTTGGTGAACTTAGTGCTACCTAATCAAGTCATCAAACATCTAACAATATGCAGCTACACCCTCAGTGGGGTGGGGTGGGAGATGAATACACTTCCTTACTAAAATAAGATGGTCCAACTGATACAAAACTACCGTGTTTCCCTGAAAATAAGACAGGGTCTTATATTAATTTTTGCTTCAAAAAACGCATTAGGGCTTATTTTCAGGGGATGTTTATTTTATAGTCATGTCATCTTCTGGTTGCTGCACAAGGGTGGAGGGCGGGGTTTCACTTAACTAGTGCTTATTTTTGGGGTAGGCCTCATATTACGAGCATCCTGAAAAATCCTACTAGGTGGGGGAAAACCCCTACTTTTTTGGGGAAACAGGGTATTATGGATCTCTAGCATTGTGTATATAATTTGAAATAGCGAGACTGGAATATGTCGATTGATGATAAATTAACATGTGAAATAAAGATTGGAAAAGAAATATTTAATATAAATGAATTCAAAGATATATGGAATCTGTTCTTGGTACGTGTGTTTGAGAAAGGGGAAAATGATACCCTTGGACAAGAATCATTATATTTACGGAAAGGAATGGGGTCTGGATTAAATATAAAGAAAAACAAATATGTAAATTAGTCTCAGAGGTGGTTGGAAGATGGGACACATTATGTGTTGTGTACTTTCTGTTTTGATTTAAATTGGGTTTTTTATTTAGTTGTTAGCTGAATCTTCTTCTTTTGCCTCTGTAGTCATAATATTGTGCATTATTCTTAATAAATTTTTAAAAAATGAAATGGCAGAATGGAGAAAGAAAATTGTGAAATATGAAAAGAATATGTGAAATAAATATCTCGAGGCAAACAACCAGTTCCCAGAAGCACCCAAATGGCTGGAAATGAAGACGATGTGATGTACAAACAGAACTGTACAAAAGCTTGCAGTGAATTGTTATTATGGGGGTGGAGATGAACTGGATGGGATATCTGGTGTGATTTCACAGCGTTCCAGAAAGATATTCCGTCCCCTTTCAGCAATGAAAGAGAAACCCTGTGGAGCCAATTCTTCTCATGTGATTCCTTTGAGTTCTGTCCTTGACCTATAAATTCTTCTGAGTGAGGGACCTTCTTATGTCTGTCACCTGAGCTACTCCAGATCTTCTCCAAGACCTCCCTCGCTCTCAGCCTCTCAAGCAAAAATGAAGGTACTTCTGAATGCCTGTCTTCTCTGCGCTCTGCTTTCTGCAGGTGAGTTGGACCCAGACGTTCTGACTAGTTCTACTGCCTGTTGGAATGGAGCAACTGGTGAGCTAAATCAAGGGGTCTAGGGATTGTCCTGATTTGTTTGAAGTAAAGAAAAGCAGAGTAGAATTGATTAATGAAGGAGCATCTGGACGCTTCATCTGTACATCTAGTGCAAGAAGTAGGTAATAGAACAGACTATATATTCATTTGTATTGGAGCACTGCACAATTTAAAATTGTGGACATATATGAAATATAGGCAAAATTAAAAATATATTAAAATGCTAAGATAATTAGACTGTTTTGACCATAATTGGAATACTTCAACAGTGTTATCTTGGCAATTTGCTAGATCTTCTTTTTTACACCTGGTGGGGCATAAATTGCATGCACATAAATGCTGCATTGATTTAATTTCTCCAGAGTCACAGAAAATTTGTCCTGTATCCAAGTAGCCCCATTTTTACTTACTTATTCTTTGATCTTTCTACTGGAAGTCTGATGGTCCAGCTACAATCATGAATCTGTGAGACAGGAATACTGCTTGCTTGGGATCCTTCCTTCCTTCCTTCCCTCCCTTTCTTTCCTCTCCATTCTCACAATATGAGGAGCTGAAACTACCTTTATAGCTAATTGGAAGGACTCAGAAGTTCATCTTGTTTGAAGAAACTCTGAACGTATAGAGAAGCACTAAAACCAGATGGGACATTAAAAAACAAAGATGAATTAATGACACAGGGATTTGATATTGATTGTTGGTTACACTCTCAGTTGATTTAATATATACAATGTTTTATAGATGGTATATAACTCCCACAAAATTAGCCAAAATGGATGTTACAATTTCAAATCTCTGTTGGAGGTATAAACAAAAAGAAGGTTCTTTTTACCATAGGTGGTGGTCATGTGGGAAAGCCCAAAAATATTGGGAAAGGGTTGAAATGCTTTTGCATGAGGTTTTAGAGATTCCAATAACTGTAACCACTGATTTTTTTTTCCTTCTAAATATAATCCCAGATCCAATAGACATAATGGAAAAAGATTTAGTTATCCATATCTTGTCAGCTGCAAGAATTCTTTTTGCTAAACACTGGAAAGACCTAGAGAATCCATCTCAAGAGGAGTTAATGGCAAAAATCCTGGATACGGCGGAGATAAATAAACTATAAGAATGGCTAGACTCAACAAGAAAGATGGATCATGTAGATTGTTGGCATAAATTTTATGATTGGCTTAGAAATAGAATGTAAATTAATGTTAATTGAAAGCCTAAAATCAGTTTAGAATTAGAATATGTATTATAAATTAGTTATACTGGAAACGTATGTATCTTTGAAATGTAATAGATAAGAATGAATACAGTGGGGTCTTGACTTAAGAACGGCCCGAGTTAAGAACATTTTGACTTAAGAACCGCTCTCATAGGAAAATATTGACTTGACTTAAGTACTTAGATTTGAGTTACGAACTGAAAAAAACCCACGTGGGAGGCAGGGAAAGTGCAAAATGTGAACTTTCAGTTAACTGTTGGCCAGTGAAAAGGGTGCCTGTCTGCTTCCTCACTCCTCCGAGAGTTTAGAGAATGGATTGGGAGACAGTCTTCGGACTGCCTGGTACTGTACTGCCTGGACTGTATTTTCCCTGCCTTCCCTGAACCTTTCTTGACCTAAGAAAAAAAGAAACAAAATATCCCCGTCTAGTGGTCGATGGCGGAATAGCAGCTTCCCATTAGTTTCTATGGACGGAAAAGAGCAGATATGGATCAAATGGTTTTCAATGCATTCCTATGGGAAATGCAGATTTGACCTGAGAACTTTTTGACTTGAGAACCGCCTTCCAATACGGATTAAGTTCTCAAGTCAAGACCCCACTGTATTGTAAAATGTTCATGTTGATTTACAACCCCTGCAATCCCATGTCCCCTGCCCCCATCCCTAACTCTAACCCCTAAAATAAAACTTTTTTAAAAAGTAGTAGTTCATCTTGTTTGTACTGGGAGAATAGGTGACCAACTGGAAATACATAGAATTGAGCAAAAAAAGAGAGATCCTTTCAACACTCAGAAGCAAAGATAAGAGTTACATACTGTATTACAGTAGAGGATTACAAGTATGAGAGAGCCATGTTGGGCCAAGTCAGACACCGACCCTTCTATTGCTCTTTCCCAAAAAGTGATATTGAGAGATATAGGGTGACTAAAAATGGAGATAATAGATAACCCTATGACTAGAAACCGCTTACTGTTCTCTTGAATTTCCCAACCCTTTTGGAATCCTATCCAGATAGGAAGCTATAGCTATGCTTTGTGGTAGGAAACACCCCTGCTCTGTAAAAGCTAAATATGGTTAGATGTTTGATGACTTGATAGGTAGCACTAAGGTCTTTGAATTTCTCTCTCCTGTTTGCAGTGGCTCCCCTGAGATGTCTACAGTGTGTAGGGCCTCCAAAACACTGTAGCAGCAACTCTGTTGAAGTTGATTGTGGACCCCATGAAGACACCTGCATAAGTGGTGTTATGGAAGGCAGTCTACGTGAGTAAGGCCCCTGGCCCCTGTACCTTCAGCAGATAGGCTTAGATCTACACCTGTGGCCTTGCCGAAGATACTGCCTTGCATTTAACCTCATATTGCAGTTGAAATGGTGTATGCTGACAAATCAATAATGGTTCACGGTGACCTTTTCCAAAGTTTTCTAGGTAGACAACACACAAAAGTGGTTTACTTTTCCCTTCTTCTGGGGCACCATGGGATAGAGCAGCTTGCCCAAGGGTACACAAGAGGGCTCTTCTCCCTGGAGGAACACTGGGGAATCGAACTTACAGGCTCTGGGCAATACCCTAAACCAGGGGTCCCCAACTTTTTTCACCCTGCGAACTGGTTGGGGAAGGCGGGGCACACCCCCACACTTGTGTGCATGCACGAACGAGCGAGTGTGTGTGCATGCACAAATGGCGGTGTGGGGCTTGTGCGGGTGTGCGCTCATGCGCATGCATAAATGGCCATGTGTTGCGCTGGAGAGAGCGCATGCGCAAATCAGCTGTGTGGGTGTGAGTGCGTGCAGGGGTGGGGCAGGAAGTCTGTCTCTGCGGCCCGGCCCAGTTCAGGCCATGGACCGGCACTGGGCCAAGGACCAGGGGTTGGAGACCTCTGCCCTAAACCACTGAGCTATCCAGCCATCAGTTGAAATACAGCTATTTAAAATGGAACATTCTTTCCTGCCTTTCCAGCCTGTATCCAGCCCCAGTATTGTTCAATGTCACAGCATCCTGTGCAAAAAGTAATGATGTTGCTGCACTTTAAAAAAAAACAATTGCTATTAGCTTCTAAATATTCTCTTTAATTCTCTTGTATAGTTGGCCGTGTGACTTTGTATACTATACAGGATTGTGTCCAGTCCCGGGCATGTGTACAAGGTCTTAAAACTGCTGCAGCAGTAAATGGTTTGTACATCCTTGCCAATTATGAGTGCTGCCGGACTAACCTCTGCAACAGAGAAATCCCCAAAGGTAAGTGCCTTTTTGGAAGGAAAAAAAAGATTAAGATCACCCATTAGGAGAATATAGCTGGGCCCAGAATGTCTAGAATGTCGTTTGAAGTTAAGAACAACGTCTGTGGTGGAAATGACAGGGATATTATGGGAAGTCTTGGGATTCAAGTCTCAAGTCCGTGTCCGAGGCTCAGGGCTCCAGGTCCGAGTCCGAGTCTTTGGTCCAAAGTAGAGACTGGGGTCTTCGTATTAGTATATGAATATGAATACCCCCGCACATCTGGATGTAACGTTGTCCCCTCCAATCACTCCAGAGCTGCGGTCAACTCTCTGTTCCTGGCAGAAGGAGGAAAGACGAGTCTCCCTGCCAGGCTGGTCAGTAGAAAGACCACCAGGAGCTCCGGAGTGATCGGAAGGGACAGCAGAGCCGCGTCAGTGGACCCTCGTAACATCCAGGTGGGCGGGGGTATTTCTATTTGTATATGAATACGAATACCCCCATCTCTCGTCCCGAGCCCCGAGTCGGGGCCGTGAGTCACTTGCCCGGACTCCCCCCCCCCCAGGAGCCTTGGACCCCCCCATGAGGCTTGGGGGTCAGGACTTGGTACCACGATGTGGGCCTCATGCTGCCTCATGGCCCCCCCCCGGCCATTGGCCTCCCTTCTTGGAAGCCAGGCCACTGCCTCTCCCCCCCCAGGCATCTGCTGCCCAGCTGATTGGTCAGCACAAGCCAGACCTCTGAAGCCGGAAGGCAGGTGAAAGGCCTTTCATGGTGACGTTCTAGCCCGCGTGACCCGCCTCTCCCTGTCAGTCCCGCTGGTGATGCTCTATGGCAGGCTAGAGCATCACCAGGGCAACACACAGGAAGAGGCGGGTCAGAGGCCTTGCCCTCTGAGTACAGCAGGCTAGAGCGTCCCCATGAAAGGTCCCTGGTGGGCTGCATCTCAAGATAGCGGTGAGAGCAACAGTGGCTGGGGGGGCATAGGGACTTGACAACACAACACAGACAAATGGATCCAAGTTGCAAGTCACCCCCTCAAACCCCCAAGTCAAGTCACGGGCGACTTAAGTCTGACTTGACAGTGAATCGTCTGTCTCCATCTCTGGGAAATGACATACACATGGCTCAATGTGAGCACAGAGGGCAGGCGGAGAGATTGCTATGCCATTGTTAACAAGACCTGTTCATTCGCCCGTGTGTACACTCTTCACTTACAATGCTCCAAACCATCCCTTCCTTTACATACTGCAAGTTCAGTATTTTTGTGGTTCTGTGCTTTCAAGTCAGAACTGACTTATAATGTCACAAATAAAGCTGGGGAATGGAACCCGCGTCTCCTGAATCTATTACTAATCTTCCAAGCATAGAACCATATGTAGCAAAATAATAATAATCATAGTAATTATGCCACACCAGCCAAATGGTGGAATACTGGGGGAGACCCAAGAGAAACTGGGCAGGGCTTTTGTCCTCTTAACGCCTGTGTAGAAGAAGGAGATTCAGCGGGGGGCAGTTGAACAATTTTACTAAATTGGTTTTTAGACTTAGCTCCCAGTTTCATTGGGAAGGTAACCTTCCTCTAAAGAACTACATAAAGGGGTTGGCTGGAGAGGGGGAGAAAGGAGCTGGACTTGTTTGCTGACTTTGGGTTTTGTTTGTGCCAGTGCCACCTCCTGGAAGCCTCTTACCCAACGGGCTGAGATGTCCAGCATGCGTAGCTCTTGGTGCAGATGACTGCGAGAGTGATGATACCGTTGCCTGTGTGGGCATGGAGACTGAGTGTGGCTATTTGGGTGCTGTCTTGGTAGCAGGTGAGAGAGAGGAAACATTTTGTTTCTGTCATGTTCTGGGTGTGTTCTTGTGTGGACATGACCACACATCCTTGAGGTCATCTGTCTTCAGCAGCTCCTTCACAACTGTATCATGGAACCTCCAAAGGCAGAGTCAGACCCATGCCCTCAAATCCATGTCAGTACCGAGTTTTTGCCAGGGGAATTTGCCCTACAAGTTTAGCTGGCAGTGAGGATGTCAGTGGCTAAGTATTTTTCACATGTAGCCTCAAATGTTATGGACAAGTGATTCAACTCTGGGTTTGGCGGGAGCAAGAGACGTTGGCACCTTGATTAGCTCCCACACATTCAGACAGAAAGAGAGGGTGAGATGATCACCTCTGTAACACTGGAGCCCACAAGGCTTGTCAAAGTCCACAAGAATGGTGGGGCTTTGAATTTCTCACAACACCCTGAACAGACCCAGAAGGGTTGTTTCACCCTGGTGATGGGAAGATTTGGGGTTCAATAAAAGAGATAGTTCTTTGCTTTACATCCAGTTGCCGTCCATTCCCACAAGAGCTTGTTTGAACCTTTGTGTTTCTTTTCTAGCTCATCCAATCTCAGACTTCATAGATATGGAAATAGATTTGGCTGTTCGTGGCTGCGCATCTCCATCAGCATGTCTCTACAGACCAGGAAGTATGGAATGGGCTGGAGGCATGTTGACCATGAACTTTACTCACCTACGATGCCAGTCTGCTTATAGAAATACATCCAATAATCGGATACTTCTCAATCCTCCCAATACTGCATCATCATACAATGATTCTCCAATCAAGCCAACTGAAGGGTAGGTAGCGGAGACAAGAACTTGTCCTTCATGTGGATCCCATCACTCATCAGAACATTTTAGGGGGAGCAGTTAGAATTCAGATATTTTGGGATTCACAAATCCCAGACCTTTACTATAATTACTAGGAAAGGCTAGCAAGATGCCTGTATATAGGATCTGGGGGCAGAAGCAAATGAAAATGTAGTACTGTATATAAGTTAATATTGTCATCAAATTACAACAAAAATAAACTGAATAATCAAATACAATTCTTATTCGTTCTGTGTATGTGCAAGGGAAGGAGAGGGGTCTCCCTTGGGGGTTCAAAGGGAGCTGCAGGCCTGCTCACACATCCCCCTCCAATCTTCCCAAGGCACCGAACCTGTGGGCATTCTGTTGCACTGCAGCGCTGTGGGGGACACAGCAAGACACAACACCCAGGTTGGGACGAGTTTGCTCAATAGCCCAATAACATCGTAACGGGGAGTGAAAGGAGACGGATAGGGGTAGAGGGTAGGTGTTGAGGGAGGATGACGTGGAGAGGAAGAAAGCGAGCATGAATGGGGAGGCCAACATATGTGGAGAGAAGAGGAGGGAGGGAGAGCCAACATGGTAGGGCGGAGGACTGAGATACCCACAGTCGGGGGAGATGAAAACCAAAGAACAAGGCAAGAGGGCCAGGAGTATGAAGGAGCCGGCAGTCTGGAAGAAGAGGCAGACCTACACCAGAAGCCTTCAGGGACGTTGGGAGCCCTGCTAACGGAGACAGATCAATCCACTTAGAGGAGCCAAGGGGCAGCTGAGAGCAGGAGCCAACCCTGTTCAGAGAACACTGACTCGGACCAAGAAGAATCCATGCCAGGGGGAGATGTGAGAAGTTGAGCAAAGAAGGAAATATCACCCTTCCCCAAAAATTGGGGGAAGGCGCTGTCAATTATAGGTTTTGGGGGAATTATATGGCAGGAATAAACCAAATATGGAGTCTGATTGGGAAATATAGAACATGCAGAAAGCTGGCATTCAAAAGGGATTATACTGCCCAAAGATGATATTAAAGAAATGATTCAAAAACTGGGGGCAGCTTCACGACTCAGCTGGGGGCTGGCTCCTAACCCAGCAGAGGCCAGTTGCAGCTATTTAGACAAGCTGGCATTGCTTACCCATGGGAAAACCAAAACCCAGTGTCATGACGGTTTTCTTTAAAACCCATCAAATGTATACAAACAGAGCTTTTCTCTCATGTTTAGGGCCAAAACACAGCCACACTCTTTTTACAAACAGGAGACATCTCTGCTGGGGAAAATGTTGGGTGAGAACTATCTAATGTGACGTGACTTATTTGCAAATGTTCTTGCTTCTGGTTTGATAGATTTGTTTAATAACAATTTGTAGATTTACACATATGAACTAGAGAAACGTAAGAGAAAGCTGTAGGATTTTCAGAGTATACACTCATGTAATTTTTACATACATCCCAAGTATATTTATACATATTTTGTATTTTAGTTAGTTGCTTGCTGTGTAAATAAACCTTTTAAAGAAGCAAAGGATCTATTTTTTTAACTCTGAAGACAAAATTAACACATGGAAACCAGGAATAAAGATTTAAAATGAATATTGAAAAGGTACAATGTCTTCTGAGACCATATATACAATCCTTGTCAGGTGTGTCAAGGACACAAATCTCTGGGTCATCCATGAGGAGCCAGTTGATCACAAGCTTAATGGGGACATTCAGATTTTCCCCCCTGGTTCCATTTCCCAGAATGAAGCTTCAGGAAGAAGAGTTCTACCCCAGAGGTGGGAAATTTTGGCAGGGGGCAGATAGTCACACCATGACCTCTTGCATGAAACATTAAACGGTAACATGTATATTAAACACACACACAAACATTTTGACACAAAGTCAAAACTAGAAGTGCCCAGACCTCCAGATTTCCAATTCCCATAGCGGTCAGGGTTTAAAGTCACTTGCTCATCTTGAACTACTGCAATTACCCTGAAATAAGACCTAACTTGAATATGAGCCCTAGTATGATTTTTCAGGATGCCTCCAGATTTCCAATTCCCATAGCGGTCAGGGTTTAAAGTCACTTGCTCATCTTGAACTACTGCAATTACCCTGAAATAAGACCTAACTTGAATATGAGCCCTAGTATGATTTTTCAGGATGCTCATAATATAAGCCCTACCAAAAATAAGTCCATTAAGTGAAACCCCACCCTCCACCATTGTGCAGGATTGTGCAGCAACCAGAAGAAGAGGGCCCTCAAAATGTAGGTCCATAACAACCTTTATGTGGGCTAGAAACTTGGTTTTCTTTTTAAACAAATGCTGAGGATGAGACCTTGTGTTCCTTATACCAGTTCAGGCCCTTGTTTGGTCTGAGGGACTGCAAAGCATGCAGCTGAGGAGATATATGTCAATTCTTTTATTTTTCTCTGTAGAGGGATAGCCTGAGCTCCTCAGAGGGCAAAACCAGGCCCTCCTTTCAGCCCAAAGCCCTCCGGGGCTGCCCCTCCCTGTCTGGCTGTCCCTTGTCTCCGGCCATTGTGACCCGTCCGGCCTTCATGACCGCTCCAGAGGCCGGAGGGCCTCATTGCGTGGCTGACTGTCCTGGTGTCTAGTCCACTAGGACAGGAGGAGTGCGGCGTTTGCCCAAGCGAGCCCAAAATTTATTTTGGTTTCCTTGGGCATCTCCGTCGGAGAGCGAGCAAAAATGTAAGTAGATTTCCGGATCTCCTCCCTCGGGGTTGGGCTCTTCATTGGGAGGGGGGAATGACTGTGGGGAGGTCAGAAGGGGGCTTATATATGCGGGGTTTTGTTTTGTTTTTTATTCTATTTGTATTGTTTTAGTTTTTTTGTCTGTGTGTTTTCTGGTTAGTTTTGTAGGTTTATATGTGTAAAACTTAAATATTAATTAAAAAGGGGGGGCTTCTCTAGAGAACAGAGACAGCTAGAGGAGGAGGTGATGGGTTATGTTGTTCCGGGGGGGCGTGTGGTTGTCACTGTTTGCAGTTGTATGTGCTACTATATTGCCCCAGTCCCAACCTCTCTACGAATAAATAGAAATGTGAAAGATTTCTTATTTATGCAGCCAAAAGGTGGGCAATATGCAGCCTTCCAGATGTTGTTGGATTCTAGTTATCCCTACTGGCTACAGCTGATGGAATTTCCAGTACAACATCTGGAGTGCCACAAATAGTTCATTCCTGATGTAGTTCTATAGTCCTCTGGTTCCTGCACCCTCAATGTTTTGGAATATTTGACTAGCAATGCCTCAGGCCAGTTTTTGCGTTTCTCTTATCTTTCTGTGAAGATTCTCAGTCATCCAGGTAAGGTTATCTGGAAGGTGAGTCATGGCAACTGGACTTCTTATTAGGTTGAAATGGTTCACTACTCATCCAAGTAACTTCTTCAGTCTCAGGAGAGTTGGTAGGAGACATTCTGAACACTCCAATGCAAAGAGGAGTGTTCTGGGCTCTACACTGGAGAAACCAAACAGCCACTAAACAAGAGAATGGCCCAGCAAAGGAGGGGCAAGGGTTCAGGACCACAATCAACAGTGCTCCTTCATTTGAAGGACAAAGGACACTCATTTGATAACCAAGATGTACTCATTTTTGACCAAGAAGATAGGTGGTTTGAGAGAAGGGTCAGGGAGGCCATACATGGGCATATAGAAAATCCCTCACTCAATACAATCTGTCTCCTATTTATCATACTGCCCTTTCATTCATTCCCAGGAGGATCAGGACCACATCCACCAGAAAGACTGCTATTAATGACCAATGACAATGGGTGGAGAAGGACTGCAGAGGTGGGATTTTCATTCATTCCACTGTCCATTGTCCATCTAAAGAGCCTATTCAGACCAGGGGGAAGTGAAACCAATGTGGAGGAGGATATATCAGGAGTCTCCTAGCTGTCCTCAAACTGAAGAAGCTACTTGCGAAACATTTCAACCTAGTAAGAAACAAGTCCAGTTGTCATGACTCAACTTCCAAATTCTCTTATCTCTGTTTCAAATGTAAAAAACAAACAAACAAGCAAAAAAGGAATTTGATTTTAAAAATGATTTTCTCCTGCTGGGTCTAGACTTCATTCACAGCCACTAGAGATATTTCAGGCTCCACGGTAACTAAACATAATGGCCTGCCAATGTCTAATTAGCAGGACATGATCATTAGTATAAGGGAACTACTATGATCCCATTTTAAGTGCAGGCCTGTCTTGCTCCACAGCTTATGACACCAAGATAGCCATTTCCTTGTTAGTAGGCAGAGGGAGGATGACGCAGCCCCAGTCCTTTGCTTCCCCTCTGCTCTTACCAGCTAGCACACTGTC